ATCAAGTATGCATATAATGTTCTAATATTCTATGTTAATATAGTATTTTATTGGCATCTCTAGTATTACTAGAGGTTATATTTGTATTCTTCGAGAATCTAAAAATATTTTATATATTTTCAAATATACCTATTATGTAGGTACTATGTTTGTAACAACGTGACATATATTAGAAGTACTCCGTTAAATACTGTCTGTAGTTTACGCGAGTAGTACAATTTAAATAAAACACTTTAACGGTTTAAAACGCGATATATTAGTTAAACTTATTTAAAAATGATTTTTAACTTCGGCCCGACGTTTCGGATGCTTTGCAGCAGCAGTCTACCCGTGACCACGGCTGCTGCAAAGCATCCGAAACGTCGGGCCGAAGTTAAAAAATCATTTTTAAGTAAGTACTCCGTTGTTTTTTTTTTGTATCTGTATAAGTTAAGTATTAAATGATAATGTTAAACTTCTAATGAAGCACTTTAACGGTTTAAATCGCGATATAGCGTAGTCGGTATTTGGCATACAAGGAATATGATGCCTAGCAGTTTATACTTTGACATTAGTGAAACCCTCAATATGTTCCCCTTGACCAGGGCTGCTCCAAAGCATCAGAAATCGGGCCGTAGTTAAAATAATTTACAAATAAGATTAAGTTTTTTATATCGCGTTTTAAACCGTTAAACGGTTTTTTTTAAATATGAACTGCTCGCGTAAACTACAGACAGTTTTCAATTTTATCAAATCGTAGCTTTGCGTAGCCATAAAACTATTATTATTTGATATTGTTTTAAGAAAGTCACCACTACGCCATTGGTGTAAATATATATAATACTTCAATTAAATGTAGCCTCGATCATTTATCCGTTATACAGTTTTCCAATAGTACCAATTTTTCCTGAAAACCGCTCACTTAAGGTTGAGGAAAATAAAAGCTTCAGGAACAATAAACTAAGCTAAAACCTAACCTGAATGCGGTGGCTTTAAGTGTTGGCAGTAGTCACTGTAATTAGCAATAGAAACGTTTTATGAGCGAACTTGTATAAGTTCTGCTATTAACAATGTAGTTAAGTACTTGTTACGACACATAGTGAGAAACTGTAATCACAACCACCCATGGCCGATTGGTTAAAAGCGCTGTTAAGTATAATTTCTGGGTTCAAATACCGGTTATACATATTGGTTTGGGTTGGACACAGCAAAGAAGTGGAAAAGTATTTATGATAGGTAATTGAAGTTACTTTTTTATGAACTAATGTTATAGTAAAGTAAAAAAGAATATGGATATAATAGTAAATGAGTTTAGTCCAATTGCATGCTATTTCCTTGTGGACTTACGAAAACCTAGCACTAGATGCTTTGCCTAAAGTTAACACCAACCCTGCCCTGCCCCCCCCCCCATACATGACCCCCTTGCAGCGATTAACCTCTTTTAGCTAAAAATGTGAAATATCATCAACTAGCTGTGGCCACGACTTTGTCCGCATAGAAGAGTTATCTCCTTATCTTAATAAATTTTAGGAGATGAATAATTTTCAATCCAAATCAATAGTTCCTGAGATTAGCGCGTTCAAACATACAAACAATATTTTCAGCTTTGTAATATTGGCATAGATAAAAAATGGTTTCATGGAAATGGCTTATGAATTAGTGTACAAGTAACAGTTACTAAAGTTTAACCAAATCTCCTGCAGATGGAGTTCCATTTGTGTCTACTATGCACACAATCATATACTCAATTGTACAAAATACTTACGTAAGTCAATTCACGGCCTTACCTTAATCCTGAGGGTCAACTAATAAGGTTTTCATAGCGATAGCGTAATAAGATTCTACGAAATGTTAAATAGAAAATAAATGCTACACAAACATGTCCTTGAGTTTTGAACATGCGACCCGAAATTACAGATTTCCATGCCGCGATATGATGGGTGTGACTTGTAGGGTTGTCCAAAAAGACTATAATTTAAAAAATACATTCCCCTAACTACGAAAATATATAGAACGAATCTTCTATCTATTTCAATGGTAACAAGCGTAACGCTATACGCAACATAGCGCCATATCTTTTAAATTAAAGTACAAGAAATTGTCACTTTAAAACTGATACTTTGTATTAGTTAATGATTGGGCAAACATTGTAGTAAGTTTTAAATCGACAATTATACCGATTCGTTACTAAAACCTTTAAACATTCTTTCGGGTATTTGACGCGGTTTTAATAAAAATACTTAACGGTCACCGAACCGTAATATATATTTTTTTTATAAATACGACGTGACGTTTTAAAAAGACTAGTAGTTTTTTATGCCTGCATGAGAAACGTATGAAATATGCTTTAATTATATTATGCGGCATTTAACTTCACAGTTAGTGAAACTTTCTTATTAGTAAATGATAAAAAACATACAATTGAATATAAAATAAGCATGGCTGCTTTAAAAATAAATCGTAAATAAGTTAACTAATATAAATCGCGGTTAAAACCGTTAAAAGTGTTTCTTAGTGTTCACACGACACATTTGAAAAAAAAAATATAAAAAGCGTCAATATTCACTATATAGCAATATAAAATTAATTGCATATACGCCGATATAATAGATATATATATGTTGTGGTTTAAGCTTAAGCAAAATACATCTTAAGCATAAATAAACGTCTTCAACGGAACCAAACGATATATAACTATATTTTAAATAATATGTTGTGACAGCCCTAGCAAGCCCGAGCTAATTACATAAATGGAGTGATACATTTAAGGGAAAAGGCATTTTGGTGGGTGTGTGGATTTTACAACAGGCTGATCATTTACACGATTAGCGAATAAACAATTAGAGTAAATTGGACGATTCAATAAAGATTGTCAATCTAATGCCCATTGCTTTGATTTGTGTCGAGACACATATTCTTATATCTTTGCTTAATATTACTAAGCTAAAGAGTTTGTTTGTTTGGACTCACTAATTTCAAGAACTACTGGTAAAAATTAAAAATTTCTTTTAGTATGCTAAAATATGGGTGGGTCAATTGGAGTAAGCGAATGTCGAATAAGCGGGAAAACATATTCATTTTTGAGGGTTTCCGTTGCGTGCGAAAGCGGTTCAAGATTCCCAATTGATATATAGATGTATAAAAGAATTATTCTTTATTTTATATATTTTTTATGCAAGAAGCGTTTTATTGATAATCATATTTTGTCGAATACTTCACATGGCAATATAACGTTGGCCAGGTCAGCTCGTTATAAAGTAAGTAAGTAAGTGAAATCCCGTTTTCCCCTCGTGTGTCCGTTTCACTGATCCGTTCTTTAACAGTCCAGTAGTTGATCAGACTGCTGTGCCCTGCCCGACTGAATATGTTTTTTGTTTCCCTGGGATTCGAACCTAAGATCTCTCGCGCTTAAGGCAATACGTTTAACCATTTGGCTAGAGACGCGATCGAGCTAGTTATAGATGAAATTATTTTTTTTAAGGCAGAAGAACATAGAGTTTAATTGATAGAATGTAGAATCAACTAAGAAATAACATGTGAATGAGATGATAAGTGTAACTTACTATACCAGTAGTTAACAAATGTTTTAAGGTAAACTTTATCATGTGTCAAAAAAATATATAATAAGTCAAACACAAATTTAACCCCGAAATCGTGTAACAGTTAAAGTAAGAATTCACCGCGTGAATTGTTCATATTCAGAGAGCGTTTCCGATACAACAACAAAATAGGTCTTAATATAATATTTCATTACTCTTCATCAACGTCTCGAAGAATTTATTAAAGTCACAGGCTTTAAAACGAGCGAATAATTTAATTTATCACGAGCATGCGTACAAAATTCATTAATCATTTTGCGTTCACCTGCCCCGACTCCTCTAATGGAAGGAGGTATGTGGTTTGTGGTTGTATCGAATGTTTATATTTTTAATTAGCTCGATAATGTCTTAAATCCTGTTTCAATTGATTAATTAGTAAATTCTAGCTATCACTGTTTCTTCTTTTAAGTTAACAAAATATATTGTTTTTTGTAATAAAAAGAATTTGGTTAGACTAAAATGCCAATACTTAAACCGAAAAAATTGAGGCGTAAATGTTTCAAATTATCATGCTTAAGATATTGTTTCCCGGGGATAACCTATGTATCTTGTCCTCTTAAAAACGTTTTAATTTCAACGTTCAAACTTAGGAAATAGTTGGACTAACGTTACAAAATAGCTATACAAGTGCTGCCATCTAGTATCATGTAAGGTAAACCAATAAAATATGTTTAATTCTTAATACTTATCGTTTTGATATAAAATTGTTGACTTCTTGTATAATGAAGCTAATAGTTTGAGTAGTATTTGAAAATTTCGGAAAATATTACAGGTTAATTCGTGTTTACTGAGTCTGTGCAGTGGTGCGCCAATCGGAAGCCAGTTTGCGCCGAACTCTCGGCGCGATCAGTAACGTGAATGTCTGTGTCGGCCTAAGAAACAAAAATATTACGAAGAATCAAATATATGGCTTCAAAAAATTATCAGTGACTATTCAAATTTTTTTAACGTAACACAGTGGGACTTTCTAAGAAGTAAGTGGTTGATTAAGACAGTAAAAAACTATTTTTATCATTGTTTATTAGCTACATTACGACAATTAAGGCTTTACGTTTCTTAATAAAAAGACGCAACATCATTTTATCTCTTAAGCTTCTTGTAATAATCAGTTAAACTTTTAAATAACTGAAATATTTTTTTGCACATCTTAATTTATGTGTTTTAACAAAAACAAATGTGAAAAATAATCTTTTAGACAGGCTTTTCTACTTGTTTCACTAGAGATAATAGGTTGTTAGAAACAATTATTATTGTAAATATCTGTAATAATACCTTGTTTAAACAATAATTACATGTGTAGCGCCATCTAGCTATTTATAATGTTTAACAACGAAGAAGTAACCTCTTCACTGTAGGTTTCTTAAATTCTAAACTAGAGTGCGCTAATGTCAACATTTTATGTTTCAGAAAAACATCGCGAAAATGGTAAGAAATCTGTCAAGACTTCTTCATTAATATTGTGAAATATTAAATTAATAATAGTTATTAATTGACTAATTTTATTTTCAGTACGGTTTTGTTAACTATGCATTGGAGTTACTCGTTATGAAGGCGTATGGAGTAGAAGTATGGGAGACAATAAAGTAAGCATAGAGATTAGTTTTATTAGTACTTTATGAGATAGATAAATTAATAATAATTATGATATTCATAAGTCAATCTAAGAGTTAATTTGTGTAACAATTATATTTATTTATTTGTTTCACATGCCATACTCCGATTATGTTTCTCCAAAATGTGTCTTTTATTGTAACTTGCTTGGATGATTTGAATAAAACACTATAACGGTTAAAAAAGCGATATTATTAACTACGGCCCGACGTTTCGGATGTTTAACAGCAGCTGTGGTCACGGGGAGACAGTATTTGCTTGGATGAATCTATCAAACCCTTTTATCAAATATACATATGTATCTATAAAACGCGTAATACAAAAAAAATACCTTAGCCTTATAAAATCTATACAAGATGCACTGTCAACCTATATTAGTCTGATTGATTTTATTAATTAATCATTTTTTTCAGGAAAAAAGCTGAAGTAGCAATGGAAGGTTCTTTTCTCGTGAGACAGATATACGAGGATGAAATTACATACAATCTTATCACGGCCGCTGTTGAAGTATTGCGTGAGTATAATAAAAATAAAAATCGTTAAGAAAAGAAGAAAGATGCATTAATGCACCCTTTGTGAGTCAAACTTCTGTTTAAAGCGCCATCTAGTATACGTATTTTGAACTTAAACGTGAACATTTACAAGTCGAGAGTAAAAAAACCATTGTTATTTAAAATTAATATGTTCATGTCAGAAACACCTGCAAATGAAATACTCGAATTATTTGGGATGACATTCTTCGAGTTCTGCCAAGACTCGGGGTACGACAAAATACTTCAAGTCCTAGGAGCTACTCCGCGCGATTTCTTACAGGTATAATTAAGATAATTAGCAATTACAGCATTGTTATTGAGTAAAGCAAAAAACTCTTACATAACTATGAGAATAACGAGAAAAATGCTCTTCTTTGAGATGGCTTGATTAATCTTCTCAGTATAATGTTCGTATTGACAATTAACAATTAGGTGTTCAATTACATTCCATCCAAATCGACCATTCCAAACACACTTTAACGGTTTAAACCCCGAAATATATTAGGTAAAATTTATTTAAACTACGGCACGAAGTTTCGAATGCTTTGCAGCTGCCATGATTACGGGGAAACTAAAACGAATATTAATAAATTTTGCATTTTAAACAGTTAAAGTTTTTCATTTAAATTTGTACTACACTCGTGAACTACAGACAGTATTCCAGATTTTTAAAAAAATATTATATAAACTCGCGTAGACTAAGCTTTATTCTTTTTTGTCTACATAGGGATTGGATGGTAATTAAATGTTTGCATTTGAAGTAATCAAGGGTAATATATATACTTCTTTATATATTTTAGAATCTGGATGGCCTCCACGACCACCTGGGTACTTTATACCCGGGCATGCGCGCTCCGTCATTCCGTTGCACCGAACGCCCTGAAGATGGCGCTTTAGTGCTCCACTACTATTCTGACAGACCAGGCTTGGAACATATTGTTATCGGTATAGTAAAGGTATGTTCTTCTGTTCTTGTATCGAATATAAAGTTTAGTAAAGCCTATTAAATCTATTAATCTAATATCAAAGATAGCAAAGAAAAAATAAATATTGAGAATTATATGGCTTGTAATTCGTTTCTTTAGTTTTAATTTTACGCTTAATCTCAGGATTAAACTTGGTCGCATCTTTACAGACAGTTACAAGTAAGCTGCACAACACAGAAGTGCAAGTGGAAATTTTGAAGACAAAGGAGGAATGCGACCACGTGCAGTACCTCATCACTGAAACTTCCACGGGGCGAGTTTCTGCGCCTGAAATGACTGAAATTGAAACTCTGTCTATAGGTAATAACTTTTTGTAACTTGAAACTTGTATCATCAACAACTGTATTTCATACCTAAATTCAATATTACTTTAATACTAGATATTTATTCGAATTATTTTATATACTAGGCGATGGATAGCAAAAAATAAAATCATTATTTACATAAAACATTTTAATGGTTTAAAACGCGATATATATTAGTTGAACTTATTTGAAAATTATTTTAACTACGACCCGACGTTTCGGGTGCTTTTCAGACAGTATATATCGTGTTCTAAACCGTTAAAGTATTTTATTTAGATGTGTATGATTAACGAGACCGAACATCCGACTCATCGTAGTAATCATAACAGGACATTGCCGTCTAAACAGACATCTTACAATGATAGGAATAGGTAGCGATCCCCTATGCCCGGAGTGCAGAGAAAGTGAGGAAACAAGCATCCATCTACTCACTGAATGCTCTGCGTACTCGAGGCTAAGACAAATGCATATGGGCTCGGACGAAGTTACAGTAGATGACATTAAAGAATTACAGATGGAAAAAATAATAAGATTCTGCAAGCAAACCGGAAGGTTTGAAGGGGACACGGGAAGAGTTAGATGACCCAAATCTCTGCAAGGAGGAAATGGGGAAATGGGTGAAATGGTCAGCGGACAACAATAATAATATATAATAGATGTGTACGCGTGTGTACTACAGATATTATTTAAAATCATTATGATTGTTGAGTAATTATAACTTAATACTCAATAAATAGAAATATATATATATATATATATATATATATATTATATAATATCAAAAATAAACGTTGACTATACGCGTATTTATTACCCGATATATTATTACTTAACAGCGGTCACAAAGTATAAACCACTTATTAAACCGTTTTTTTTAATAAGTGTCCAATCTACATACATTCTACAAAAAATAACATATAATAAAATCCAGTCAATATTTTGGTTTTATAATATTAATCATTAAACAATTAACGTAAATTAATTTAGAACAATTTAATTTTAAGAACCAAAGGTCAGTCCAGCGACCTTCTGCCGTGTCTTTCCGTTCCACTTGATGTTCGACCGGGAACTCAACATTGTACAAGCTGGCCGTTCCGTAACTCGTCTTCTACCACGACTCAACCAGCCTGGCTGTAAAATAAGTGATGTCTTAGAAACGGTAAGCAATCCACATCATAACCTATGGTAAAATATGTGTGTTTAAATAAAAAACTTTAACGGTTTAAAACGCGATAAATTAGTTAAGACGGGAGGTCTCCCCGTGACCACGGCTGCTGCAAAGCATCCGTAACGTCGGGCCGAAGTTAGAAATCATTTTCAAATAAGTTTGACTAATATATCGCGTTTGAACCGTTAAAGAGTTTTATTTAAATGTGTACTACTGGCGTATACTATAGACAGTATGTAGTTTGTCTTTTCTTACTAACAAATAAATTTCAATCATATTATTAGTACTTACTATATATACTAATAGTATCAATAGCCTATTATGGTAATCTCCCAGCCATATAACGATGAAAGATGTACTGTCAACCTCTTTTCGCTTTCGATATTCGAAAGAACTATGTGAACAATCGTATTGTTCAAGGAACTATGCAAACAAGGAATACTTAGAATAAATCATTTAAATTGTTCGAATTAATTTAACTTTAATTTTTGTTTAATTAAAACTGACAGTTGACAGTCAAACAAGTCAAGTGTTGAATCTGAGAGACAATACAGTACATACAGTACAACTATAACTGATTGGCGATTTTTATAGGTTCGTCCACATCTTGAGATGACCTTTGCCAATGTACTTGCACATATTAACACGGTTTATGTACTCAAGACTAAACCAGAAGAAATGAGTGTCAGCGACCATCACGAGGATATTGCTTCTTTGAAGACTGAAGGTAGTTAGACATTAAACAGATTTTTGTAATTGGGCTCATCTTCCTTTTAAAAGTAGTCCTTTTTAAAGTAACTTAACCTAAAACTTATAGGTCAAAGATAACGCTGCATAAAGAGTTTGCATAAAAAAACAATAAAACTACCCTCCTTCTCGTTTTTATTTCTATAGCAAATTTGTATTGTTTATTTCATATAATAATGTTTATTCCAGGGCCAAATGTTATACATCCCTGAAACTGATGTGGTTGTATTTCAATGCTACCCCAGCGTTACAAATCTTGACGATTTGACCCGGTAAGATTCAGAACCGATTCCATCTTCTATAATCTTGTGATACCGTTACAAAATCACAACAACATAACGTCTTACGATGCCGACTTAGTTATGACAATTCTGCTAACTGTCTAAATGGCACTTCTTTCGCCAATAATTAAACCTCATGCCTTCAAGAACTCATTTTGTCTCAGTTTCAATGTTATTCTAGGTTAAAGCGTCTAGTGAAGCTACAGATCAGATACAGGTTTGTAACTTCTAGAATTGAACCCAGACTTTTCCAAATCTACTGTCCATTTACAGACGAGGTCTCTGCATTTCCGATATCCCTCTTCACGATGCTACTCGAGACCTGGTGCTGATGTCCGAGCAGTTCGAAGCTGATTACAAACTCACCCAAAACCTGGAGGTGTTGACTGACAAACTTCAACACACATACAGGGAGCTGGAAGCTGAAAAACAGAAAACTGACAGGTGAAAAAATATATTTTTTTACATTACATAACAGTCAATTAGCTAATAATGTTTGTAGGTAACTTAACTTCAGTACCCTCCCCCCCGTGACAACGGCTGAAACGTACACGAAGCGTAGGGATAAAAATGTTTAAAAAAATAGTTATTCCTATACATTGTAGTAAATTTCTTTCAATACAGTTGAATACTACTTGTTTTCATATACAAGTTAATTTGTGTTTCTCAACTTTTTTCAGACTTCTATACTCAGTACTTCCAAAGAGCGTGGCCACGGAACTACGTCACCGACGGCCCGTACCCGCACGGAGATACGATCCTGTGACCCTCCTGTTCAGCGGGATAGTGGGTTTTGCCAACTATTGCGCCAGGAACATAGACCATAAGGGCGCCATGAAAATTGTCAAGATGCTTAACGATTTGTACACTGCTTTCGATGTACTTACAGACCCCAAGCGAAACCCTGATGTGTATAAGGTATTTTAAAGCACTTTTAATTTGATTTAAACGACAACTGTTAAGTGTCATTATTTATAATACCTCTTTAAACAAAAATTTACGATTTAAACGGACTAAACAGTATCAGAATTCCACTCAGAATATATTGAAATTAAATACTTTCAACGGTTTTAAATACGAAATATATTAACACTTATTTTTTATTATTTTGCCCATGATCCGACGTGGCGGATGATTTAATGCAACTAAGGCCAAGAGGGGCAGGGGGACGTATTAAAGAAATATATTTAACAAATACATGTCGGGTTTTAAACTGGTATTTCGATCGCCTCGATAGAAATTCCGGGTCCAGGTCACGAACCACCCACAGATGAAAAAGCTGTGAAGCTTAATCGCGTTTCGGTTTCAGTCTATGAATTCCCGAATATGCAAAGTGAAAATAAGTCGACAGCGCATCATGTTTAGATGCTATATGCTAGGGTATATCACCCATCACCAAATGAACCCAATGTCATGCCGTCCTCCTTTATCGTAAAAAAAACCACTATCTAAAATTACAGGTAGAAACCGTGGGGGACAAGTACATGGCTGTATCTGGTCTGCCTGAATATAAGGAAGCTCATGCCAAACATATCTGTTTGTTGGCTTTAGAAATGATGGACCTGTCGAAAACCGTTACCGTTGATGGGGAGCCAGTGGTAAGGATGTTTGTCTATGTTATTTAAGATAGAAAATAGCTTAGGTACGTGCAAAAATAACAGAAGAATAGTGTAAATAGTGTAAATGCTCTAAATTTTAAAAATTTTCTTTTTAAAATTTCGAGCATAGGCATCTTGTCTCATTGAGTTCTCATAAAAAAATTCCTTGCTTGCTCTGAGGAGGTTAACCTTTTTTAAGATGAAAAAAATTGACGAGAGAATCGGTTACAGGGTTCTTCAATTTCTTATGTTTGTTCTCCCCATAGGGTATTACAATTGGAATCCATTCTGGTGAAGTTGTGACAGGAGTGATAGGGCATCGTATGCCCCGGTACTGCCTGTTCGGAAACACTGTTAATTTGACCAGCCGATGCGAAACAACGGGAGTGCCTGGAACTATTAACGTCAGCGAAGATACTCATAGGTAATTTAGTCTAATATTTATCAAATAAAATGGTTTTCTTGAGTAGTGAAGTTTTTCGACTATCGTCATTTAAAATTTTCGTTTCGCCATCACGAGATTTTCTTTTTCATTTCTTTGACTAAGTATGAGAATGATAACTAAGTGGACTAACTGGCAAACTTGCGAAGCATTAAGACGCAAAAAACCGCGTAAACGTAAAACATCTAAATAATTATGTAGTTACACACAAAAATGAGGTTTAAAAGATTAAAGTTTGGTTTTAAATCATCCCTAACAAGTATGCCTATGTTATCTTATTAATCAGGACTTTTCAACGTTGAATGGACCTATTTCAGCCTTCATAGACAGGTTTGTTCTGAAATTGGCATTGCTTAGTATCAACAACCATTACCCACCATATACAATATATCACTTTTATTTAATGTTTTACGTGATGGAATATTATTATTTATGATAATAATGAACTATGCTCCTAAACTGTGTCATGGACCTAAAAAAAGACAAAAAGAGAGATAGGAATATTTCAAAACTTTAATCCTCACACAAATCCAAATACTTCTTTAACGATATAGGCAAAGGCAGTTTCTGTATACCAAACGGTAGTTCAAAGTTCACCCAGAGCATGTGTCTGATTTGACATCTGCACAGATGCTTTAACTCCACTGGGCGCAAACCACACCTGGAACTGGGAACTAGATGGTCCTTTAATATGTCACCATACTTCTCTAAAGCAATTCTTTTTTGATAATTGTAATCGTCTGGCAATTCCAAGTGCTTTAACGCCAGCTTATCCACTGTGAAGTTAAGATGTGGAACTGCTCTTAATGATAGCTTCAAACAAGTCACCAGTTCGTAAGGGTACTGTCGTTTGTATTCATTCAATCTATCTAGAATTGTTTCTATTGGATTCGTTGACACGTGATCAGCTGTGATTCTTGCCCCAAATCTTAGGAGGATCATCAGCATTTCAGCAGCTCCCATCTGTATCACGACACGTACTGGAGAAGCTTTTCCACAACTTTCTAGGGGCACGTCTATGAATCGATAGGATTTGTCTTCGTCTCTGAACTCCAGGTTAGCGTTTGTGGCGTGGTCCAAAAAGAAGACTAGGGCGTGGACATTTTCTTCTCTGTCTACGAAGTCTGACTTCCATCCAGCTAAGAAGTAAGGTGCTGAAGTGCCGAAGATAGCTCCTGGAATATAATGGATGTTAATTCATATTTTGTGTTATACTTTATATAAATTCATCGTATTTTACCTAAGAAGATCCTCTCAAAAGTTCGTTCACAAGCGTACAATTCATCAAGCAATGCAGCTACCACACCGTTGTCTTGGAGACTCCAATCAAAGGCTAGTTTCATGGCAATATAGAGAAGATTGTGGTATTTCCCCATTAGACATATATCACCATTATTTGATTTACAGTTATTGTGGTATTTTAATGCTGAATTCACGAAGTTCTTGCATGTTGTATTATCCGATTTGTTTTGGCCTAAAATGAGAAAATGACATTTTAGTGAAAGGCGAAAGAACAAATATAATTCAATATTATTATTTATCTTGTTATTAAAATATATTTTTTTTTTGCTTTAATTTAAGTTAAATAAAACTTTAAAGATGTAGCTCTTTTCGTGACTTAGTTAAAACACGTTTTGGTAAGGAGTTAGTAAGTAATAATTCAGTCTCTCATTGAACAGAAGTCTAGATCATAAAAATTAATAATGAAACGTGTAAAGAAATTTGTCTGCTCCCATTTTAGAGGGCATTGAGAGGTAAGCTTAACTAACATTTTAACCATAGGAATAAAAATTTATAAAACAATTTTAGTTTACGGTTAAGTACGCCATTCCATACATCTAAGAAATATAAATTAATTTTATGGAAATAAATGTTTATCTGACAGTTTTCTACAATACTTAATTATAATCGTACTATCTTATAATACAAAAGTAAACCTTTAGCACATCCAGTGATCACAGAATTAAAGTACTGAACTAGTTCCCGCCTCTTATATCTCTCGTTCAGACAATCCCGGTCCAAATTAACAAACACTTCGTCAAAATAGAAATCCATAAACGAATCCATTTCATTCACAAATTTAGATATTCACAAAGAATTTAACAATAATTTAATGTATTTTCAAAACGTCAAAAACACCGCGGGACAGCCTATAACCTCTTTGGAGATTTTAGGAATATATTTTCGAGTTTACGACTGTTGTATAGATCAGGTAAATCCGTTGTAACCTGTAACGTTGGTGAAAACTTAGAAGTGCATTTAATCCTATTACTATTGATTCTCTAACAGAAGCCTTAGTTACGTCTCCTATTTTAAAATTAGTTTCAAACATTGACCTCTAAGTCACTCAAACAACCATTAAATTGTATTAAAGTTTGATGAATACTAGTTAAGTAATACAATTAATGTTCAATTAAAAAATAGTCTTATTATTGCAGCTGTTATTAAAAGGCTACAAACGTTTCGCTAGAGGAGAATAATTGTAAAAAATGTGCACGACTAGCTGTGCACGCGGCTTCGTTCGTATGGATTAGATTCCAAAGTTAATTATAATTCTTACCCATGACGTCTCTTAGTACCGTCGTTCTTTCGAGTTAAAAGATAGACAAATACTGTCACGGAATTTTTTAGATAATTTTTAGACATTTTATATATACACTAGCTGTGCCCGCGACTTCGTTCGCGTGGAATAACATTGGGGTAGAATTTTTAATTATTTAGGCTGTTCATTAATTTACGTAATTGTGTATTTATCGCAGCTAATCTATGTTGTAAGTGCTACTTTGCCGCAACACACTCACCTCCCATCACTCCTACTCTAACTTCCACTTTCACTCTCACCCTCCTACCCACACTTTTTCACATTTTTCACTGTTCCATTGCGCTGCGACCAATTGTAGCTAAGCAATTTGAATGGAATACAGCCTAAAGCCTATTTCGATAAATGCTATAACCAACATAAAAATAATGCATAATTTAAAACCAGTTATTCAAACAAACAAACTCTTTAGCTGTATAATATAAGTTTAGACATAACTTTAAGGCATATAATTAAAAGAATATTAAATTCTTTCAGCTATCTCATGCGCGAGGACAATTATGATGAACAGTTTGAGCTCACCTACCGTGGCCACGTTTCCATGAAGGGAAAAGCTGTGCCGATGCAAACTTGGTTCCTAACTAGAAAGGCTTAGAACATTCTAGAAGACACTATTTTTCTAGATCTCATTAGATTTCGGTGTACTTAATCGATGTTGTGTAGAACGGCCTATAATTTCCAAAGATAAACTGCTTTAAAGTAATACTGAAATTGGAATAAAACAATTTGAACGGTTCAAAATGGAGATTACATAGGTTATATTAAAAGTATATTTTTAAGCAATTCATATCAACGGAACTCGAACCTGCGCCGCTTTCTGTTACTATTACCAATTCCAGTTTTACAATGTGAAAGGTGAAGCGTTCAAAATATATTACTTAATTTTAATGGTTTAATTTTAATATATGTTATGACCAGACGTTCCAAAATGCAATGTTTTGCAACAAACGTTTGCTAGGTGTTTCCTTGTTCCACTTGCTGCTGTTGTTTTCGTTAAAAATTAACATAAAATTAAAAATAAAAATAATAAAATTTGATGTTTAAGCCGTTTAAAATGTTTTGTTAAACATGTAGGTACTATTCTCGTAAAGATCTGATTACTTTATTTATAATTACATCACTAGTCCACCAAGCCTATATTATTCTTCTTTTTTCATATAAATAAAAAGATAAAAAACATTAAAAAAATTATTATTTTCTGATCTAGATGCCTAAAATTGAAGTATTGTAAAGTACAAAAGTAAATAAAAACTACGGACTAAATCAATAAAATCCACTGTTTTGTTAAAATTCATATATATTAGAATATTATGTTTGAATTATATTTTAATTATTTGTTATTAGTTTCTATAGTAATAAACGCTAATCTAGTCATGTTATGGGTCTTTTGTTAATTATTGTACTAAATATTATCGGTGTTATTAATTGTAGTGTCCGAAGATATTACGTGTCTATTACTTGATAACTGTAATTATAAAATTACTATTAACTGGAGACTTTTATTTAATGATACAGAAAATAAATTATTCTGTAATTTAAGTTAATAAATCAAATCATACATATTATGCCTAAACGTCATTCTTTAATATGAAAATTACTGTCATTACATACATTTATAGTTTTATTAGCTGTGTCAGCGACTTCGAAAAAAAAAACATTCGAACCCGTAGTTTCTGAGATTAGCGCGTTCAAACAAACGAACAAACTCTTCAGCTTTATATATTAGTATAGATGTATATTTATCTCATTTACAAACATTTATAATACACAATGCCAAGTAATATTTATTTTTAAATAGTTACATCTTAATTAATGTTTTAAAGATTTTGTGTGTTTTTATTTTTTAATTTCGTTATGGTAATTTATGTGCCAATTGTACAAAACCCTTCGTTTTGCGGATCCGACTCGCACGTTCTTTGTTGCTTACAGCACATTTTCAACAAAACAGGAAACAAATGAAAAAAGGCAGTATGTTTTTTGTATACAAAATAATTGTAGCATTTTTGGAAAAATCTAGAAGTAATCCTTAGTAGAAGAGTAGTGCGTGAAGAGTAAAAACTTGAAGGTTGTCTATAGCTGGTTTTGTCGGAATGTGGACAGGCGACCTCTCTCATCCGGCCGGGGTCCTAGCCAAATTGACTTAATTGCTGTAAAATTTATTCTATGACTAATTTTCGATCTATCTATACCTCGTCCTGTACAAATAAGGTGCACCTAATGTACTCATAAAAAATTTCTGCTGTCCACTAAAGGTCTTGGGTTCGAATACCGTATTATAATTATACTAAAAGTGTTTCAGCTCTTAGACTACTTATTGTGGGCATCTTACTATTTAATTTGCAAACAACCTCCTTAGCTTTAAAAATAAGGTTTTTCACAGCCATAAGCCTCTCGATATATGCTTTAACTAACACAAAAATATGTTTTTAATTCAAAACAGTAATTCCTGAGATAGTAATTACAGTAATTCTGAGAAACAAACAAGCTTTTTAGCTTTATAGCATTAGTATAGATTATTTTTAATGAATTGTAATCGAAACTAAGAAATAAGGCTTTAACACGTTTTAAGCTATGTCCCAGATCTCATGAGTTATAGAAGGTTTGGCTGGTTCTACCCACCGGTCCAGTGCGGGTTGGTAGGCTAAATTGACTTTGACCACTAAATTAGTAACCAAGACCGACGCCTCAACATACAGCAAGGGCCCCATCCTACCTCATCTTCTTCAAGAAACTACACTGGTTCTAGTAATTTTCCTGGTAATAGAAAATGCTAAACTTTTTTTCTATCTGAATTGGGTTTCGACTCCCGGACATCACTCATCAGCTATCGTATAAACTGACTACGAGGCTTAAAATAATACAAACATAACAGCACATTTTAGCAAAGTTACTCAGCTTCATGAAGCATTGACCAATGGACATTCGGAAATTTTAAAGGCACCTGCATGACCACTTTTGAGTTTAACTTATGTCCTGGAGATCGATATTGCCTACTTACAGCGAGAAACGTTATCTCTTCATTGGATGTTGTACATCGACGGTTTAATAAGAAGTCGTAATTAATTTGCAATACTCGAACGTCATTGAACAACTAGACAAAAATAAACTCATTTACTTGAAAACGTGGTCCAAGTTCAAAAGATGACATCATTCCTTTTAAGAGGACTTATCTCATTCTCACTAATTTCTAACTAAACAAAACAACGGGTTTTGATTGATGAGGCATTAGCAATGTTTTTAAGTAATCGCGTTTTTGTTGATTTGGTCGTGTCAGCTAGGGAGTCAAAATAATGTTAGTAATTTAGTATCTATGTCCTATCTACAGAATATGTAGCTAAAAGTATTTAAAAAAGTACATAATTGTTTTTCTATCTTCTTTTACATTTTTAAATCCCAAAAATTAATTAAATAATAAATATCTTAGATATCTATGAAGCTATTATTGTTGTTTTTAAACCTTGCCTGTAACAGCTTTGAAAACTTAAAAGCCTCCAGAGAGCCATTCAAAAATAAAAATAAAAAACAGAACAAGTTAACGCAAAAAATAACTCCTGCGCATGTGAAGGCGATCGAGGTGGCACCGTAGTGACCAACATACTAACGTCATATACGGCGATATTTTAACAAGCGATCCTATCTACTGTTGACTATCCATAAAGAATAAAATCCAATGAAACGTGACAGAAAAGAACGCACAATTCGAATCAAATCAACCGTCATCGTCGCTTAAACCGTTTTAATTTTCAGTCACATCGTGTCCGTCACCTGTGTAGGTTGTCTGCGCAGGCGCATCGATATCGCTAATTTGAATTTATCTCGTCAAACCGGACTGGTCGATTGCGTCCGATATTTTCTCGCTTGTTCCGTTAATGTTTAGTGCTTGTGACATTGAAAACTAAGTTTATTTGTGACAGTTATCTAAGTGTTTTGTTTCGGACCGGATTTCTCACAGCAGGTAAGATACAACACCTTCTTTGAAGACTGTAGTACACATTCAAATAAAATAATTTAACGGTTTAGAACGCAAAGTATGTTAGTTAAACTTATTTACCAATTATTTTAACTTCGGATGCTTTGCCGTCCCGTGATTGCTGACTCTTCTCGTTTTAAACTGTTATAGTGTTTTATTTAAACACCTTTGATTTTAACTGATTGATCAGCGCTAACTTTCATTGGTAGATTAGGTATTTTAATTTAAGTCTATCAAGGATCACTTATGAAAATGCGATAATACTTAATTATAGCTATTAAGCATTATTGCATGCCGTCTTTACCTTGGCCCGACGATTACCAGAAGGTATTATGCATAGGTATCAAGGTATGTTCCACTTTCGCATTTTACTAGCAGGTGGTCAGCAACGCTCTGTTTGACATGACCATCGATTTCGTTCTTAATCATAAACAAGATACGAGAAAGCTATTTTCATTATAATATGTCCCATTTCTTTGAGAGAAGTGAAAACATTCA